GAGAGGAAAAAAATATAATTAAATTAAATAGATTTGCTCCTAGAATTCTAGGATGTTTACAAATGTTAAACATCCAATTTTGATCAATTTCGGTAATTTTCATTAGATCTCCATTTTGAGAATCCAATTGAATTGAATTGGTATTCAAAACCAATCCAATCCAATTATGTCTTTCAATTTATAAATTTTAGTCTATTTTATTAATTATTATTATTTTCTTAAATTTGATATGATTGAATCGGATTGGATTTTAATTTTTTCTAAACTGACGAACACCTCTATTTAAAAACAATTTAAGTGATGCTTAAATAATACTCCCTCCATTTTCTTTTAATTGACGTTTTAGGTGTGGACACAAGTTTTAATAAAAAAAAAAAATTCTCTCTCCCACCATTTTTTTCCCTGATTTTGCAGGTGGGAGAGACTTTGATAGTGGGAAACATTCCCGCCTATTTAAATAACATTTTTAACAATTTTGTCTTATTCATTTGTTTCTCCCACCAACTTCATCTGTTTCTTTTCTTTTAAGCTGCTCCAGTTCTTTAATTTTTTTCGTCCGTCACTCGTTTCTGTTCTCTTTGATTATGTTCGGTCAGTCACCATGGCTGTAACTCATTCAAGGACTTTCCTTTCCCATCATCTGTATCGTCACTCTCTTCTCAACTCGCTCAAGAAACTTTAGCTTTTGTTAACACTCGTGTGGACTGGAAGGAAACCCCAAAAGCTCACAAGTTCAAGGCTGATCTTCTAGGGCTCAAGAAAGAGGAAGTGAAGGTGGAGATTGAAGACGAAAGGGTGCTTCAGATAAGTGGAGAGAGGAACATATAGAAGGAAGACAAGAAAAAGAGAGAAAAGATGGAAGCAGAGACAGATTAGAGAAAGAAGAGGTGGTGATGGAAAATAAGGAAGAGATGAGAAAAGGGGAAGAGATAAGATAAAGATAAAAATTAAAGAGGACAGAGGCAAAAAGTAAAGAAATGACAAGATGGAATGGAAAGAGAGAGGTATGATAAAAAGTGGAGAAGGCATGATGAAAGGTGCAGACAAGACAAAGGGATAACGACTTTAATTTTGAAAATTTTAGAAAGTCTTAAAATGACAATTAAAAGAAAACGGAGGGAGTATCATTATTTGTCTAAATATAGAGTGAAACTACCCACTAATAGTAGACTAAAGAAGCTTCATTTCTTAAGATATCTTATTTAAAAGTTTCAATTTTTTTTTTTCTTATGACACCTCATAAATTCCATAAATACCCTTCATTCAATTTTTTATACTTTAAAAGAGTTAACATTTATCCCCCACCACCGTTATTCCTAAAAAGGCTAAAATGAAATTTTAGATAATTAAATTATAAGTTTAGAAAAATTAAAGTTAAAAAAATCCTTATAAATAATCCGAAGAATATAATACGGTTAAACAACAAATATATAGATTAAAATAACTATAAATTCTTTGAAGAAAAAAAAAAAACAACAATATTTTCTAGTGTTTGTAAATGTAATGTCCTATCCTTCAATCCCACTAAAACAAGCCCGCACACATGTAATGTCCTATCCAAACCACTGACCCTTCAAGCCTAACAACACACTGGTTAAAAAAACTTGAAACACCCCCAAGTCCAACCTAAAATGAAAGTCCACCTCTTGCTTCCCAAGATACAACGCCAAATTCAGGAGATTGTATAACAAGTGACAAATTGGGTTCATAATTTAAGTTTTTGCATCAGATTATGTGATAATTGAGAGATCTTAGTTAAGTTGTACTGGAGAAGCAACTATCACTAGTGAAAATGACCACTTGAGCAGTAAAAAGTGTAGGCTCATTGAGAGTTTTTAACTTCCTAACTAGCTTTATTGCTTTGAAATTGAAGAAGACCTTCCATTCCTTCAATAATGCCAGGAGAATTCATGTCATCCAAAAACTTAAAAATTCATGTCAAAGATATATTTCATTTAATAAATACTCTAACCTAAACTTGAAGTTTCTTGGTAATACAACAGAAGGAACTTTCAACATTGCATCATGGAGGATTTTCTGTGCGTCTTACAGAAGAATTTCATAAACATCCGTCCTCAAATTCAGTTACTTCTTGGAGACCTGAAAACTCTTTTGCAGTTGTGATGGAGTTCAGTTTAAAAAATCCATCTGGCCATTGTTTTTTTGATCTGAAAAATATATTGATCATAACGGTTCAAAACGAAAAACAAGCAAACTAATGGGAATTATTTAAATTTGGTTTGTTGCTGGGTGTGAGAATCCTAGGATCGAATGCAGAAAAAAATCCAAAAAGTTATAACACTTTCCCGAGAAACAAACAAAGAAACTTGAGAGAAAACAGAAATTTCTACAGCTGAATTTTTATGAACTTCTGCAATCATAAAGACTGATTCTTGAATTGTGTTTTATACTAAAAATTAGTCCACGTTGGCAATCCGTATGACTCTTACACAAATTGACAACATTTTAGCCGTTAATCTCTTCTGTAGCTTGATGAACTTCAGTTGAAATAAAAATGAAAACCCAACAACTCTGATATGAAAAATGGCAACATTCTACTAAACTTTTGACAGATTTGATAACTCCATTTTCATGTCAACAGAATTTTAGCAAACTTTGTTAACCACCGTTAATCTAACCGTTGGGTTCAAAAAGCTTTTATCTCTACTCTATAGTCTTGCTGAGCTACAGTTGATATAAACCCAAAATTCTTGGGTCCTTTGGTTCATCATTATTACCCTATCATATTCCATTATCCTACCTTAAAAAACCAAAGAATGCAATTGTTTCAATATTCTCAAAATCCAATTCTACTTTATTTAACTCTCAAAACCTTATAGATAATTAAATTATAAGTTTAGAAAAAAATTAAAATTAAAAAAATCCTTATAAATAATCCGAAGAATATAATACGGTTAAACAACAAACATACAGATTAAAATAACTATAAATTCTTTGAAAAAAAAAAAAAACAACAATATTTTCTAGTGTTTGTAAATGTAATGTCCTATCCTTCAGGCCCACTAAAACGAGCCCCCACGCATGTAATGTCCTATCCAAACCACTGACCCTTCAAGCCTAACAACACACTCGTTATAAAAACTTGAAACATCCCCAAGTCCAACCTAAAATCAAAGTCCACCTTTTGCTTCCCAAGATACAACACCAAATTCAGGAGATTGTATAACAAGTGATAAAATGAGTTCATAATTTAAATTTTTGTATCAGATTATGTGATAATTGAAAGATCTTAGTTAAGTTGTACAGGAGAAGCAACTATCACAAGTGAAAATGAACACTTGAGCAGTGAAAAGTGAAGGCTCATTGAGAGTTTGTGACTTTGAAAAATTGCTCCTCAATTGGCTGGAGCTAGTAAATTTTAACTTCCTAACTGTTGGAGTTGTCGACTACTTCAGCAATAATGGGTAACGGAGACGCACTCGGGGGTCCCGCTGGCGAAGGTCGCGGGGGCAGCGCCCCCGAGCCCGTAGGCGGTTTTGGGCTTTTCCATGTATAACCGCTGTAGGATTCCTTTTAAGTTATTAATTCCTTTTTGGGTTGGGCTCAGGAATAGGAATTCTTGTAAAACTAGGTTTAATCTCTTAAACCTAGTATATAAACATACATTTCTCTTGTTATGGGTGTGAGAACAATTCATTCATTGTAAACGAGAGAAGTGAGGCATATTGCAATAATATTGACTCAGCTGGACGTAGCCTACATTGGGTGAACCAGGGTAAATCGCGCGTATTACATTCTTTGTTTACTGTTTGTTTTGTTTAACTATTATTATTTTGTTCCTGTTGCTTCTCTATTTCGTTCACTAACTAGCTTTATTGCTTTGAAATTGAAGAAGACCTTGCATTTCTTCAATAATGCCAAGAGAATTCATGTCATCCAAAACTTAAAATTTCTATCAAAGATATATTTCATTTAACTAATACTCTAATTTGAACCTGAAGTTTCTCCGAAATACAGCAGAAGGAACTTCTAACATTGCATCAAGGAGGATTTTCTATTCGTCTTGCAAAATAATTTCATGAGGATTTTCTCTGTGTCTTGCAAAATAATTTCATAAACATCCGTCCTCAAATTTAGTTACTTCTTGGAGACCTGAATACTCTTCTGCAGTTGTGATGGAGTTCAGTTTAAAAAAACCATCTCGCCATTGCTTTTTTGATCCGAAAAATATATTGATCATAACGGTTCAATACGAAGAACAAGCAAACTGATAAGAATTATTTAAATCTAGTATGTTGCTGGGGTAGCAGCCAAATCTGAAATTGAAGGTGGATGTGTTGTTTAATAGAATTTTCATTCATGTAATACGAACTACAACATGAACATGAGCATGAAAGGGAGGCGTCAGTTAGTTTTCCTCTGCTCCATTCTTATCTTCAGGGTTTGAGACAGAGAGAGAATGTTCCTACTGTAGAAGGAGATTGTCATATGAAAGAATGTAATGGAAATTGGAAGTGCTGAAGCATGCGATTTTAACAAGCAGCACAAAATCAAATTTTTCACAAAAATCAAAGTGATGCTTAAGTATTCTGCTGTGGCTGCAAGGTTGTATTTTTATCAGCATTTTTACCTGTTGAAACTGATTCATTGATAGATAATATCAAACCTGTGATAGCATTGCAAAGCAATGTGTATAGATTTAGTAAATGGTCTTTCCTTTTGCCAATATTATTTCCTCTACCCCTACCATAACTCTAACGTTGATTCGACAGAAACATAACACCTCCAGGTGGCTGATTTTGCACGATATCTTTTCTGGAGAATGGATGGCAAGGCAAGTTTATGCTTGAAAGAAACTCTTCAGTAGGAGTAGGATTTATTTCATTAAGAGAATATGAAGCGGTAGGATGAGTTTGATTAAGCAACTGTGAACTAAATCATTGTTCTTTCACAAGTCTATATTTTGTTGTCTCGCTAACTTTCAATTTCAATGACAAAATTGGTTACTATTTTCATTTCAGTTGCTGGCCAACAACAGTTGTTCAGCTGAATTCTGAGCTTCTGCTTTCTGCATATTTAATTACTAGGTAAATTTCGAAGTCAAAGTGCAGGCCAGCATAAAAGGCATTAGACTTACAATTCATCAAAGAAATGAAATTTGAAGAGTTATAAATTGAATGTCTAAAATGATTATAATAGACCTACTTGTATCAGCAAAAGCATATTTGAGTACAAAACAAACTAGTTTCTATCATTTCATGTTCATGATTAATCAATAAATTCTTAGAAATATCTATAAAATTAATTTATTATCCCGATAATTATGCAGTCTTACCTGAGAATAAACATCCATGAATGCGTGAAGAAAAAGAATCCTGAAATCATAGAGAAGCAAAACCCTCCAATCTGGCTCATCATCTGAGATCGTTTTAGCGGTGAAAAAACATGTTAGCGTCTATGTATTAGATTTACAGTGTATCACAAATATTACTTGGGAAGTGTCTTTATGGCAGGGACAAACTTATGAATCCTAATAGAACTTCTATTGAACCATGTACTCATATTTCCATATGAGACTACTTGCATAAGATAGATTTAAATTACAATAAAGTAATTCATAGAAACCAGAGCCTCAACCAAATGACCCTTCCAAAAACATAAAACGAATTCACATTTAGTTATACCTAATTCATAAGCTCCAAAAAAATGACTCAAGTGAACTTCTCCTTTAGCTCCAATTTGAACTCCAAATCTCGCAGTAGCAGATCATCTACCTCATCTTCAAAGGCATACCCTTTAGCCAAAAGGAAAACATCTAAAATTAGTATTCACTATTTTGTTTAGTAACCTAATTATAAAAAGTCTCTAGTTCTATTATTATCAAGGAAAAGAAAATAAGCAAAGTCTTAAAAGTTAACAAGAATTAATTTATTAATATGAAATTCAATTGCATTATTGGAACCTAAATTTCAGTAAATCATAAAATTTCTTAAACAGTAATTATTTCTGACAAATTCAGTCAATGTAGTTACATTAAGCTTAGTTTTGAATTGAAAAACTAAGCTTAAGAGAAGAGCTGTAGCTTTTACGAATGAAAACCCACGGCTTTGATCTTTCTATCTTTAAGCCTTTGTAACATTAAGATATGCGTGCTATTAAAATGTAGCGTTGAGGCAAAACACACAATTTTGATAGTAAAAACTAACAGCAGCTAACGAAAATAGCCCGGTGCTGTTAGTAATAACAGCAATTAACTAACTTCGGTAACGTTTTCTGTTTAAGACGAACTTTACCTAACTTAACTGACTTTTGAATAACCCAACGAATAAAAATAAGTTGACAAACACTTCTCACAACTTTCTTTCACAAACACTGACATGACAACTTGCAATTGGTTAGACGGAACCCATTGTGAGCTGACAATTACAAGCTGACACATCGCATTTGTGAAAGAAAGTTAATAAGAAGAGTTTATGAGTGTAACCCAAACACACTCTTCTTTACTTGAAAATCATGTTATAGCAGCTTCTACTCTTCCGGTCTTGGCTTGAGCTTTTGCCATAACTTAATTGATAGGTTTTTTTTTTTTTTTTTTTTTTTTTTGGTATCTTCTGAGTCTATAGCAACAATCCCCACATGTTATACAATAATTGAATATTGTTCAAAAAAATAAAGATAATAAAGCAGTTCAATTAAGAAGCACGACATTTTTAATCCTTTGTAATAAATGCCTATCGTTGAGTGTTGATTAATGACGGTCAACCAATGTTGACTGATGGTCAACGCTAGTCAATGGTGGCATGTTGACACCACCGCTGGTTCTATCAGGACTAGAATGTCTCGATCCACAGAACCTGGTTGAAAAAATAAAATTTCGAAGCTGATTAGAGTTGCAGAAGGCAGTGAAAGATTCTTTCGTCTTCTTTAGACGAATTTAGCCTTACAATTTGGTTATTTCATTAGATTTCGATAGATCATCTAATTTCGGTCCAATAGGCTTTTTCACCTATCAAATCAGTCTTTTGAATTAAACTGTCGTTTGGGCTTGAGTTCTAACATTATTAAGTTATTTAATTAAATTAATTTTATTTTAATAAAATTATAAAAATAATTTTAATATTTATTAATGAAAATAAAGTTAATAATGTATTATCCTCTTTCAACAAAAGACACAAGAAATATTGTAAAATACAAGTCTTCTCAATCATTGGTGGAATGGTGTAACCAACCATAATCAATCAAAACTTGAATAAAACTCATTTTATCCTGTGAAAATGAAAAGGTGGACCAGAAATTGAATTTCTGTCTCAACCATTTTTATTTTTAACTTAAAAAACCAGCTCAAGCACACATCAAAATCAATGAATAAGCAAGTAGTTTTTAATGTCCACTCATCAACAAGTTCCATATGGTTATAAATAGTTCCAATAAACTTTCGATCATCTTTGCATTATAACCTTTGGAGCCAATCAAAATCAATGAATAGGTGCTGGTCGTGCCTAAGGGTTGTTCGATATAGCAACAATGCCTACATGTTATACAATAGCTGAATATTGTTAGAAAAAATAAAGATAATAAAGTAGTTAAATTATGAAGCACGATATTTTTAAGCCTTTGTAATAAATGCCTATCATTGAGTGCCGATTAATGACAGTCAACCACTGTTGACTGATGGTCAACGCTAGTCAATGGTGGAATGTTGGCACCACCATTGGTTCTACTAGGACTAGAATGTCCCGTTCCACAGGAACCCGATTGAGTAACTAGATTCTAAAGTTGATTGGAGCTGCAAAAGGTGGTAAAAGATTCTACCATCTTCTCTAGCTGAATTTAGCGTATTCCTATAGATCAACTACTTTCAATCCTATGGGACTGGATGTGGTGCTAATTTGCCACCATTGATTGACGTTGATCGTCAGTTGATTGCCGGTCAACGGTGGTGCCAAAAACCATTGACATTTCAATTTTTTTTAATTTATAATTAATTTATGAATTAAATGTTTATTTAAATTAATTTTGTAATTTGAGGTATTATATATAATGTAAAATCAGCTTTAGAAATAATCAGATTTTTAAAAGCTACCCATCCTAGCTTTTGGAATCTTTTTATAAATTTGATTATTGTATAATCAGTTTCAAACTTAATCGGTTTTAACTTTTAAAAGAAGCTTTACGAACATTAGATTCTTGTGACACTACCTATTTTTTTTTTTTTTTTAATTTCTTAAAGATAGATAATTATGTCTTTTAATCAATTTGTAAAAGATAGTATTTTCTGTGTTTTTTCAATCTTGTGTGTCACTTTATCAGATTGGCATAATCTATATCATCTATTATTAGTAAGAACCAAAAATTAAAGCACAGTTGGTCTATGAACTACATTTAAGTTCAGGCCCTTGCCCATAGTATATGCATGACGTTTAGAGTTTATACTAAAGAGTGAAGGTTTCAATTATTCAGATTAATAATGTTTTTAAGTAATATTTGCTACTATTTAATGAATAAAAATGCTATATCCACCGAAAATTTGGTACCGAACAATTGCACCAAAATACGTGGACGTTGCCACATTGGACCATAGAACACTGACGTAAATGGATGGCCATCCAACAGTTTCGGACGGCCATCCATACTTCCTGAATGGTTGTTCATAGTGGAATGGACGAGAGTCCATAAAAGTATTTAAAAAAAAAATAAAAAACAATGGACTCCCATCCAAATTCTATGAACTGACGTCTAGTTAATATGGACAGCCATCCAAATTATATGGACGGCCTTCCAAAAAGCACATCGTCTTCTTTCTTTCTTTTTTAAGTTTTAACACACAACAAACGATTGTTTGTTATCAGTTAAAGAGAGAGCATTTAACTGGCTAAAAATCACATAGGTTCTAAAAACGCATACCGGTGTACTGTTGTTATTTTCTCTAAACCTCTCTTCCCATTCTCTTTGAGCCTTGTCCATTTCTTCATATTTTCCAATCAGTTACACTTCTTGCTTTGCAGCTTCTCTCAATTCTTCTACAATACTTTCTGCTTTTGTTAGCTTCTCTTCAACCTCCTTCCTTTTATGTTCCTCTTCCTCCAATATCTTATCCTTCGACGCCACCAAAATCTCAGTTTCCTTCAATCTTTCATTCAAACTCCGAAACAGCTTCATCTTTCTTTTTCTCAAACACCCTCAATTCATTAATAAGAGCTCCAATATGTTGCTGGAGCTTCTTCCTCTCATTAAACCATGTCTGCTCTAGCGTTGCAAAGATGCTACAACCTTCTCATTAGCTTTGGCATCCTCGCTTCTCAACTTCCTCAACTCTGCAATCTCTTTCTCAGCCGTCTCAAGCTTATGCAGAACCTCACATTTGTCCCCAACAACCCCCTCTCTCTAGACTCTCCACACAAGAAAACCCAACAGTTGAGCACTTCCTTGAAGCATTTTATCATGCAACTCAGACCATTTGTCATCTTCCTTATCAGAACTTGACAAAAGCCTTAAAGCAAAGAAAGCAAAAGAAACACCAAAATACATTAATAATGGACGGGCGTCCATTAACATATGAACGCCCGTCCATTAATTTTGTTTATAAAATTTTTATTATTTAAAGATTGGACGGGAGTCCATTATATGTGGACGCCTGTCCTTTATTTAGGGACGGTCGCCATAACCTATGAACGGTCGCCCATTATTTTTTTTATATTGTTTTTTCCATTTACTGATGAACGGGCGTCTTTTAAATATGGATTCCTGTCTATAGTAAATAGACCCATGTCCATGTAATATGGACAGGAGTCCATCGTAAGTGAACGGCCGTCCATAGTTGATGAATGGTCATTCACTAGCAAAATATTTGTGAACGATGCAACGTGGCTGGTGTGAGTCACAAGACAAGTAATTCGGTGTAAGAATTTGGTGTGGAGTCCCAGTGTCTATAGCATTATTGTTTAATGAAATATAATCAAAAGATTGAGGATGATGCAAATATGATTAGTTCTATTGGCCAATTTTTTATCGGAGAAAAAATTTAGTAATTAAACAATAGATAATTGTTTGGCTAATTACTAGAGAAAAAGATAGAATAAAACGAAATTGGCTAATTATTATAGAATTAGATGTAATTAGACATCATTTTCGTATTAATTGACAAATTTAAATTAATCCAAATTAGATCGTAATTAGACATCATTTTCTTCTAATGTATTAATTGAATTACTCAATTTTAAATTATATAAAAAATCATTATAAACAAAATGAAAGAATTTTTTATTAATCCATATTAGACCCTAATTGGACATCGTTTTCTTCGCCATGTATTAATTGAATTACTTAAATCTAAATTATTTGTGAAAACATTATATAAAACATGAAATATAATCATCTAAGTTGTTTTAAAGTAACTTAAAGATGATTAAGATTTAAAATGTATTACAATACCACGCAACAATCTCTAATGTTGAATTTACGATTGATATGTAATGCATATTCACATTTAACGTAAAATAGATCCAATTTAACGGAACCCATAGGCCCCAGTGAACTTGTGTTATAATTGGGAATTGAATTTTGAATGCTATACCTTATATAGTTTATGTATTGATCATTTAGTTGTATACCTTATAATTGGGATAATTGTTTATTTTGATAGCATTAATAAACAAATAACTATATTATATGCAATGTTATTTAAATATTAAAATTGTTACTGTATCTTCTCAGCATAAATTTTTGGGTTCATCACTGTTATTGGTATTATGAAATTGTAAAATCTTAACCCAGTTAACTGTATAATATTAAAAAAAAAAAATGATTATTAATACATAAGAATTTCACTTGTCTCCCACGATATTTATCCTAAAATTAACCAACAATAATTAACATTATAAAATACATAACTTGAAAAAAATATGCTTCATTTTTTTTTATTTCTTGTGCTGTACGTTCTAAAATTTAAATACATGTTACCCAATTCCTTTAAAAAAAAAAAAAAAAATTGTAAAGGCAGAACTTGATGGTTTATGAAAGACAAAGAATTGATTTTTGCGAAGAGGTTTTATCTCACCCCCTAAGAGATAATGAAGTCTCATTCGGCCCCAATGTCTTACCCAGAATTGGGTTTCAGGGGGTTTTTCCTATACTTTCTCAAAACTTGGGGGTGAATGAACTTTCTCATCTCTCAAGGGGCAACGAAAAAAAACCCATATGATAAAATGTCCAAACGTAAAAACTCTTAAAAGGTTTACACCAATAGTATAATAATAACAACAATATAAAAAAGACAAATTTATGAAGTGTTTCGACGGATCTGTATGCATCAAGATGAATGAAAAGTTACATTTTTATGTCCAATGAGGCGGGCTTTGTCATTAGCCAGTGTTTTCACAAGAAGTTTAGGGATGATTAATAACTTACAATTGCAATATAAACATAATAGTAATACAGACAACTCTTCAAGAGAGGTGAGATTTTGATAAACCCTAATGAGATAGATGTTTCAGGTTCTGAAATCTAAAAATTATTGGTTTAATTAAAGAGGCAGGCAGCTTCATTCTCCTCTTATCCTAAATACGCATAAAATTTTAACAATTTTCTATCAAGAGGGTCTTAGAGATGAAGGAAATTCGCCTCTGACAATGAACATCAGAGAAGGACAACCATAGATTTTAAGTACTAATTGCATGAAATTTTGTGTTTCAACACCTCATGTAAGGATGTTAGGCATTACATTCGCTACTTTCAACTTTGTCGAGGATGGAGAGAAAACCATCTGAAAAAGAAATAAGATTTGGAAGCTCTGCCATTTATAGCTCTTTAAGGGAGGTGAAGCCATGGAAATCCTGTTGTGGCCTCATGACAATTCTGTAAGGGAGAAGAAGAGCAACAATCAACCAAACACAACCAACCGGATTATAAGAATACTTTGATAGTTGCTCAGTGGCTAAAGAATTTAGGCTATTGTTAGAATTGAAAACAGTTAAAAAATTCTAACGTAGAAAATGAAAAATTCGCTGCAGAAAAAGGCCTAGAAGAAACAAGACTTTCAAAGAAAAAAACATACCTCTGTAATCACAGCTTCCTTACAATCTCCCCAGCAGTAGCATGAACTGATTATGAGTAACATCAGTAATAAGAAATATTGCAGCTCATTTTCTGCATAAAACTACAAACAATGCTAATAGGTTAGCAAATCATAACCTTTGAAAGGCTTCAACAGAATTTTACAACATTCCCATAACTCTGCAGCAGCCAAAATGTCAACATTTGAAATTTTCGATAACCACTCAAAAAGTTTCCAAAAGCAATAGCAGAAACCTTCAATATATTGCAACTGTAGGAGGCCAACAATAAATCACAACAACATTTGGTGAGATAAATCCAACAAATCTTCAATAACAACACAACAATTATATATGCTGATTACTCTTACCAAAAATAACTTCTAAAGTCCAACCTGCAAAATAACTCCAGGAATTCATCATTCAAATCGTGATCTATTTCAGATTAGAAGAACAGCCACCTGTCCAACAAACACAAACAAACCAACGTAAATATTTAATAAAAAGAGTGCTAAAATAACATGTTGATAAATCAGCACTGAGAAAATTGCAATATTGGTGGAGTTTGAAGAAATACTGTATAGCCCATGAGATTGCAGTGAGGTACTTGACTAATTGAGGATCAGTGTTTGGCGAGGGAGGATTGGAGCTAAAGAAACTACAGAATCATTATCAGAAGAATATTAAGTAAATCAATCATCCTAGGAGTAGAACTCTCCAACCTAAACTCATACTACTACCGTAAAACTAAGAGAGGCAATTGATTCTAGAGTTGAGATTCACTACCATTAACAACTCTTCATTACTGATTTTTTGGCCTCTAGATGATGGACCCTCAGCTTTATCTTTCATCTTAAACATGTAATCGCTAATAATGAATCATGCCTAGTTGTTTTCGATTTAGAAACAAAAAATCTCTCTAAATTTGCGCAGATTTCCAATGAGAGCCGACATTGAGATACATGACTGAACATAGATTCTGAGACCAAAGCTAGCAAACAACTTACAAGCAATTTTTAAATCTTTACGAGCAACCATACTCAGGATTTGGCTTCTTCTTGAATTCAGCAGATTTATCTTTCTTGATAGAAATAAAAGTGTGAAAGTCAACAAAATAAAGCTGGGAGATCAGAAAGATGAAGCAGAAAGATTAGTTAACTTCAAAGCTCTAATACCATGAGAAAAATAGAGAAAACTGAAAAATATATTGAAGAAACAGTTCTGAAAAGTGTGACTGAGTTTGTTATTACCGAAGCTCAGTTCTTATAATTAGAAGCAACTACCAGAAGCAAAAATGGACATTTGATCGGTGAAAAGTCTAAGCTCGTTGAGAGTTTTCAAGATATAAAATTCGTCTAGCCACACACACATTACATACAATGTAAACCTCATATGCAAAAATACTGACGCCATAGTACAAAGGTACACTACACTTTCTCATCTACCATTGCCCTTTCAAACGATCCACGGATTTATAAAAGAGAAATGATTGATCGTGGTGCTCGTTGGAGGTTTAAAGCTCTAAGCATACAAGATATAATTTGAGATGAATTTGATTGATTATTTATAAGGATGTTATGGCTTTACATTTGCTAATTTCAGCTTTGCTCGGGATGGAAAGAAAACCATCTGGATATATATACTGTTGTGGATTCTCAAGACAATTCAATCTTTAAGGGAGTGTATCATTGCCTTTGGAATCAAAATGGAGCTCCATGGATAATGAATTTATGCCATTGTTAGAAGAGCACCTGTCCACCAAACACAACCAACTGGATTTTTAGAAAACATTAATAACTGCTCAATGGATAATGAATTTATGCTTGTTAGAAGTGAAAACAGTTAAATTTTAACATAGAAAGTGAAAATTAGCTGCAGAAACAAGACTTTCAAAGAAAAAAATATACGTCTGAAATCAAAACTTCCTTCTAGCCTCCACATCAGTAACATGAAATATTAGCTAAAAACTACAAACAATTCCTACAGGCTTGCAAATCATAGCCTTTGAAAAAGGCTTCAGCACCAACACCACTTGAAAAATTTCATGAAGTTGTGCAGAAACCTTTTGCAACTGTAGGAGTCCAGCTAAAATCTTCAACCACATAACTTTTGAAATCCAATTCTGCAACGTAACTCCAGAATTTCATCATTCCAGATCAAAGCATAGTCTTTGTGGCATTTACCAGTGTTGGTCTAAATCTTCTAATTAACGCTTCCCCAGGCAGAAAGTATCATTCCCTTCCACATCCAAATCTTGCTCCATTTCTGATTAGAACAGAAGCTAACCATCCGGCAAACACATAACACCAACTGGAATTTTTTAACAAAAAGCAGATGTCTGCTCAGTGTCCAAAGAATTTAACTTAATAACATGGAAATACATTTTTCTACAGTATGGCAAGCTCTATTATGATAACAGAGGCAATAACAAAGTAACTTTAAAACTACAATATGCAAATCCATAAGATATTATAATAGCTAATATACAAAATAAATGTTTAGTACAAGGAGTGTTCAACAACATTTTGACATATCAAAACTGACAATTGAAATCGCAAACATAGTTTAGATTGTTGAGTTGGCTCAGCCCAAGTTATTAACAATTTAACACTTAATTTATTTTGTAAATATCTGAATAGCCCATTAGAATGAAGTGAGGTACTAGACTAATTCAACCTCTATATTCATTTCTAAGATCTAATAGAATGCATTCTTCCTCCTCTATATTCTTCATAATAGACTATTATATTTCATCCTAAACATATAATCAATAATACTCAAGGAACTTACATTTATAGTTTGCTAAAATATATATCACACTATGATCTTAATAGATAATATCACAAAATAAAAATATTTTTGCCAAAAGTGAAACTCAATGACATGCTCTTGCCAAAAAACAAGAAAAAAAAATAAAAAAATTGTCAACTCCTATAAGCATTAGAAGGAAAACTCAAGAGCAGAATACTCTTGCGAACCCCATAATCTCCAATCAGTAAAATTAACCATCATTTCTGACTGCCTTGTGATTTTATAGGTGATAGGGTAAAATTAACCATTCATTGCTCTTATTATTATTATTATTATTATTATTATTATTATTATTATTATTATTATTATCCTAATTAGATTAATGACCATTAAAATAACATGTACATAACTGATGATCATATATGTTAAGACTTTGAATCTCTTTAGGAAGCAACACGGCACTAATGGATACTTCAATATCAACTAAAGGGTAAATCATCCCGAACTTAGATTATAGCCTGCTAATGCAAATATACCAAGGGGCTCAGTTCTGCTTAAGTAACTTTAACGCGTCTCTTGTGTTGGACCGCTGCTCCTGATGTATCCTCTGCTGCTTAAACAAATACAACACAGTGATAGAAGATTAATTATAAAGCAAGTAATAATGCCTCTAATTTAGATAGTAAGAACTTATAAAATAAATAAATTACAACAGAAATACCTGAAAATGATTTGCCTCTCTCCTTTGGCAATACAACAATGGGCCACTGTAGTTCCACTTGGATTATTTTTTTGGCTGTAGAGAATCCCTTCAATATAATTTCAAGAGACCAAACTTATTTAGTGTACATAATTAAAGCTTTTCACTAAAGCACATGGAAAGGAGGAAAAAAAAGAAACACACACACACACACACATATATATATATAGCATTGTACAAAGGGCCGGCTTTCGATACAAAGAAAACATTTTGATATGGTGTATCATGTGTCACCACCCTAAACCAAATCTTATTCTAATGTCAATATTTGTGTCCTAGAATTTTAAGCTGGCATTTCGTGCAACATAGGTTCAGAGCAACCGAATAATAATTCTGTCCCAAGTTTACATGATGCTTTCCATAGGGTCAAAAATTGAAGGCGGCATATAGGTCAAAAAGTTTTATGTATGTCCATACAACTATATATGCATCTACATGAGCAAATTTACAGAGCCCATTCACAAATAAAGATAAACAAAATATGGAAGAACCTGAAAGACTAATTCCTTTTGAATAATAATCTAAAGATTGCATTATTTGAACAAGTAGCATGTGAGAATTTTTAGGTGGTTTTACTCAATATTCCAGAATAATTATAAGCTAAACAATATATCTAAGAATTCAGATCAACTTTGGAAAAAGCAAGCAGAATATGTCAAAATTTAATTTTCAGGTAACTTGAGAAAAAACTATATAGTATATATTGAACAGTATAATAGATAATTTTTTATAACTGAACAAAGAAGGAAAAAATAACTAAATCATAAATTCATATATACAACCTATTGGTATAAAAAAAAGAGAAGAAAATATAACTACAGTTACAATCAAGATTACCTGTCCCCTTCACATGTAACTTTCTTAAGAGAAAAAGCATTAATTAGTAAACCACTCAAAAATTTTGTACCTCAGAAATGGCATGACGTGGTCAAGAGATAGTTTTTCCCGAATTCTCACCGTCACTCCTTCCAGTTTCTTGGTCCAAGGCCCCTGGTAAGTCTTTGTAAGAAACTGTTGCTCAATATCTAATTGACCAGTAACCTTCCAACTAGGACTAGTTGTACCCTCGTCATCCTCAGCAATATCAAAACTACTCTGCATCATTAAAGGGAAAAGATAATTACAGGTTCTTCTCATTTGCAAATTTATTTCACGAATGCATAACAATAGTAATGATTAGAAAATAACAAAAATGAAAAGGGGAATAAAAGTTTCTTGATTCAGCATTTGTTTTAACATTCCAGTCAATTCACAAACAATTTCAAACTCAAAACTTCTGGAAAATACATTCCACTACCCTGGAAGACAGTTAATGATATTGATGAAGTCGTTAGCAACTGAAGATGAGAGAAAAATAATTAATCATTACTTCAGTTCTTGCAATGGTTTGATAGGAATGAAGCAAGTGAACTCTCCAAACCATGAAGCTTGTTGAAGCCATCCTGAAATGAACAGAAGGAAAATGAGGAAATCTGAAGAAACTTAAGGCAAAAAAAAAAATCTAAAAAATACTTCAGCTCATATTTCCTAATTTGGAGCAGCACTAGAATGGTTAGGCAGCTAGCCCTCTCTGGAATTGAAAAATAAAGTAAAAGTAGGCGCCCATGTCTTACACTATAATTGAAAAGTAAAATAAAAGCCGTATTCCTCACCTGTGATAGCTGCTATTACACAACCAAAACCATGGCCAAACTTTTAATTAATATTTAAGGGTAAACATTAACCAAACAATTGAATTCATTTAATAGGAAATAGATTAGAAAATTTTTTAAATTCAATTTACATGTAGATAGAAATAGAATGCTGTCATTGATTGTATGGGTTAAAAATTGTGGGAATGTTACAGAGTGTATGGGTGTGCTTCTCACTGGGGAATTTTGTCAAACACATGATAGCCATTCACAAGCAAATTAACAGACCCAAGAAATCTTGAACCTAAACATTATACAACAACATATGAAAGCAATACATGTGATATTGAAGTTGATATAAGTAAATTAAGATGATTAAAACACACCTTCGATGAAGATGAAATCGTCAGCTTGCTCGGAGCCGGAGGTGGAGAATGGCTCATTTCAGAGGGGAAACTGAAAGAGGGTTATTGAATTGAGGCGTATAAGGAAATTATGTATATAAATTACTACTTCATACATTATGTTAATAGCAGAATGAATGAAAAGTTACATTTTTTATGTGCATGTGGTGAGTTCTGTCATTCATCAGCCTCCGTTTTGATTGAAATAAAAAACAGTATATTGGTGAACTCAGTATATTTTTAGTTCTATAGCTTTACAGGCTGTGTGGCTTGTCTAAATGCAACACCCCGTCCTGCAAGCCCACCTAAGACAAACCCACTAACACCCCATCAAGCCAGGCCACTGATGACCCACCAAGCCCACATAATTTTAGAGAAGAAGGAAGTTGGCCTCTTACAATGATTACTTGAGAAGGAAACAACCATCGAATTTTAAGAGCTGAATGTGTGCATTGTTGTGCTTCAACTCCTCATCTCATATTAGGATGTTATGGCTTTACGTTAAGATCTGGAAGCTCTGTCATATAAAGCTCTTTAAGGAGGTGAAGCAATGGATCCTTCTTGTGGCTTCATAAGACAGTTCTTTAATAAGGGAGTGTATCTATCATTGGCTTCCAAATCAAAATGGAGCTCCATGTCTAGTTCAACGGATGAAGAATTTATGCCAGTGTTAGAAATGAAAACAGTTACAAATTTTAACATAGAAAATGAAAATTTGTTGCAGAAACAAGACTTTTAAAGAAAAAAATATACCTCTGAAATCACAGCTTCCTTCTAGTCTCCACAAACCATGCCTATAGGCAATAGGCTTGAAAATCTTAAGCTTTGTAAAGCGTTCAACAGAATTTCACAAACATCCCCATAACTCTCCAGCTGCCAAAATTTCAACAATTGGTCACAAACACCTCTCAAAAAATTTCACAAAAGCAGTAGCAGAAACCTTCACTGAAATGCAAATGTGGGGATCTTCAACTACAATGCAATCATTATGCTCACTTGTCTTACCATAAATAACTTTTGAAGCCAAACTTAGAAAAATAACCCAAGAAATTCATTGTTCAAGATTAAGCATAGTGTTTGTGGCATCTACCTGTTTTGGTCTAAATCTTTTAATTAAGGACCCCAGGCAGAGTGTATCATTGCCTTGTACATCCATATCATGCCCTATTTCTAATTAGAAGAAGAGCTATCTGTAAAATAACCACGAAAAACCTACTGGAAGTTTTAATAAGTAGATATCTGCTCAGTCTCTAAAGAGTTTAACTTATTAAAGAGCTATAATAAATGTTATAGTCCTCACTATTCTTTTTAAACATGTCAAAAGTGATGAAAAGAAAGGATCTCTTTTTATGTATCCAGGAAATTTGTCAACTTGTTCGGAAATGATACAAAAAAGGACGTCCTTTTTTACAATGGAAAAAGGCTCCTCTGATGACTTCTTTAAGCATTGGAGTTACACCAGTGAACAAAAAAGAACAACTTCAAAAAGAACAAGTTTGATAGATACATGACTGAACATAAATTTTGAGATCAAATCAAGCAACCAACTTACAAGCAATTTAAAAATTCTTTACCGGCAAATATACTCAGGATTTAAATTCTTCTTGCATTCGGCAGAATCATCTTTCTTAATAGAAATGAAAGCTAAAGGATAAGAAAAATAAACCTGTCAGATCTTCAAGTTCATGAGTACCTACAGCAAACAACACTTGTGATTTCCAGTGGTGAGTTGCAGAATTTGAGCTCAATTTTTTCAGGTTAAGGTTTTGGAAGATCAGAAAATGATGAAGCACAAAAGTTTTCTATTTGACATTAGTCAATTTAAAAGCTCTAATACCATGACAGAAACAGAGAAAATATAGTAATTTATCACAAAATCATGGAAATAGATTAGAAATTCAATGTTGATAGAGCCAATAATGCATTAAAACAGAAATTCACAAACAGCGTATTGAAAAATTGTTGGACAACTGGAGAATTCCGAATGACTAAAACAAATCCAAGCAGTAAAGCAACAGGATGAATGTGCCAAGAGAGCACTACTTTATTCTACCATATTTCAAGACAACATCAATGTAGATAGCAGAATGAAAAATCCTCTTCCTCTTCAGGAAAATGGAGCTATAGTCTATCTGAAGCAATAATTCCAGCTTCCACATGAAGAATGCCCTTAATCTTCCTTAGAACTCTGCACATTCTGTAATCATAAACAAAGCATATTGAATTCACAAAATAAAAGAAAGATGTTAAAACAATTGATTAATACATCAATCGTAATAGTATGCCAAAGAAGATAAAATTTTCAGTTTATAACAATATTTTTAATTCATCTAATTAATAAGTAAATATATTAGCATATGACGATCAGCAAATTAGAAAGTGCAGAGGAAATGGATGTGATATTTTTGTCAATCAATACATACCCTTTTATTGAATAGTTTCTGTATGGCAGAATTAAGTTCAGGGTTGCCTTCCCCACATTCTTCAACTTCACCCTCTCCTTCTATCAATTGTAATGTTTGTAGCTTTGGGGTGCTTAAAACTCCAAGAGAAAAAGTCTCCATCTTCAAGCATTGTTTGACAATTACTTTTCTCAATGATGGAAAATCAAGACTAATATCTCCACCACAAAAGCTTGTAAGGCTTGGTAAACAATGAATTTCCAAATTATTCAAATAGTTGAAAGCGATTGAATCCTCCACCATTTCACCTTCCAGATTGGATATAATTTGATCCATCATTTTGCACTCAGATATATTCATACTTGTAAGCCACTTCAAAGTTTTAGCTTTTGAGAGGCTTAGTAAATATCTCAATCCATCACACTTTGATACTTGCAAACTCTCCAAATTTTGGAAAGATACCGATGATGACCATGAATTATCTAAACTGCCACATTCTGATAGTTTTAGAGTCTTCAGATTTGGAAAAGCACTGTTAGGTTGAGGATTTCCTCTCCATAGATGCAACAATCTGGGCATTTCACATAACTCAAGCTCTTCCAATCTAGGGAATGCATCCTAGAATATCACAAGAAAGGAGGGTAAAAACCACACATTGCTATATTTTACAAGTATAATAGAGAATCAAAATTCTTTAGTTGCATATACCTGAGCGGACGTTTAAGCTGAATTATTATTTTTTCAATGAATATTTAGTTACAATGCCTTCTACATACCTTGTAAACCAAGAACAGTGGTTTTTTATTTGGGTTCCCATTTTGACTCTGTCCATGAGTCCCTCTGATGCTCAGAAATTCTGAAGCCAAAGTCTCCACATTGTTACATCCATGTACCTTCAACTTGTCTAAAACCGGCCATTCTGAAATATGTTTTTTTGGGTAAAGACTTTTGAGACTTGGAAGGCATCTTAGATACAAGTTTGTTAATTTGGAGAACACAAATCTTTGACCTGCTTCTTCATTGGCAACAGTTTCCTCCATGCCAGATCTTTTCTCAAGCACTTCAAATATCTCTTCAACTGAATCACAATTTTGTACATCCAGGCACTCTAGTTCTTGGCGTCTCCCAAGCATGTTAGGTGGAAAAACATTTACAAGTTTTTTACAAAACCGTACAAACACACGATTTAAACTGCTGAAGCAATCCAAAGAGACCTGATCGTCCCATATTTTTACCAATTCATCAGCATAACTGATTTGCAATCTCTCCAAACAAGGGAGCCTTACCTGAAGAATCCAATTACAATTACAATAACAAGATACCGATTATCAATTACTTATAAACATTGACATGAGATATGATGAAAAAAAATGAGAAAATAGATTAACTTGAATCTCCAGAAAATGTGAACAAAGAAGGGAATAAATGTGAAAGAAAAAAGAGATAAATCACCTTTTTATCAAAAAGAGATTGCATGTGAGGGTGGAGGTTCTCATTGGAGTTCGTCGATTCAAGTTTCTTGGTTGATGTCATGTCACTCCATATAGAAATGGAGACAAATGATTTCATACCAGGACAATTGTCAATCCACAATCTGAATAAGGAGGACAATTCAACAAAATTTCCAGTGGAGCTGCAGAATGTTGTGAGTTTTGGAAGATCTCTAAGCTTCAGCTGGTATAATTTAGGAAACAGCACTGTATTCGTCCTCTCTTCATCTTCAACTATAATTCCTTCTATCAACTTACAATTGGATATCTCAAGCTCCTTCAATTCGAAAAGGCTTTTGACCATTGAAGAAGAGAAAAAATAATTTAAATGATCAAAGCCATCGATGACCAAGATTTTTAACTTTTCAAAGCAAGAAGATGTTGCTGGCAGTTGGCTCTGCCATATCCACTCAGTGATGGTTGAGGATAAAGTTAAGTCGTCCATGGTAGGAAACACAACCTGCAGATATTATGATTGTTTTGTGAATAACATTATCTATGATACTTCAATTACTTTACACTATGTAAATTTCTTTAATAAACCTAATCTTGGAGATAAAACTCAAACAAACTTACATTTTCACTGAAAAGGGATGGAAAATGGAGGCTGAAGTCCTTCAAATGTATATTCTGACAGCCTTTTATGATGATGGTTTTCAGGGGAGGACATTCCAAAATATTACTTCCTGAATAGAAGCTTGTCAAGCTTGGTAAAGACTCAAGATTAATGGACTTCAATAGAGGGATTTCAATTTTATCAATGACCACATTCTTTTCCCCTTTTTTGGTAATGATTTCTTCAACCAAAGCACAACGTTTTATTTCTATCTGTTCGAGTTGCACAAGGCTCGAGACAAAAGATGCAGTAAATATATATCTCAAGTTGTTGCAGTTATCAACTTTCAATGATTTCAGATTTTTGAGGCCCAAAATTTCATGATGACTTCCCTTCGTTGTATGTCCATCAACATAATCTAGTTGCTCTTCCATATCAAACACCTTTTTCAGGGAATCACAACCTTTTACCTCTATCGTTTCCACATTTTTGAAGTAGCTTAACACATTGGATGGAATAGTAGTTGCAACATCAGAAAGCCCATCTAGCACTAGCGACTTCAAATTGTAGAATAAATCAATTGGAACTTTGCCATTCCAAATATTTTCTTTTAAAGTGGGAAATTCACCAAGCTTCAAATGTCCAAATTCACGAAAACCAACCTGCAAAATCCAAAATATTTGAGTTAGTTAAAACATTGCACAATGAGGATTTTTATTTTTAAGAGGGCAAATCATTGAAAAAATAATAAAAAAAAAAAAAAAAAATTATGCTTAAGCATGAGAATTCATATTATCATAGACGAAATTTAATATCAAAGGCTGACAAGGATGTAATAACTCCTAATTAACAAGTTTTAAATTCCCGTACCAAAATTGTCTCCCACTAACTACTCATATAAAACCTTTAATGTGAGTGGTTTTACATGTATTTGAAGACACATTTTAAGGTCATAAAAAGAAAAAATATATTATGATTATAATTATATATATATACACGTAGACATGAAATACCGTGGTACGATTTGAAAATCATGTACTAGTACTTACAAGACAAAGAAGACATGAAAATAGCCAATAGTTGTATACATGATAACGATGAAATACCAGAAGAAGAAGATGCAGAAAATTATAAATCAAAATTACTTTGCAATATTGCAAAACCCGAAAGATGCATGATTTTGATCTTAAATTTATTTTTCTGATTTGGTTTGTTCTATGTATAGTCTACTTCGAAATTGAGAAAATTAATTACATTGTTTACTTATGAGAAGTTTCAATGAACGTTAAACCAAGGTAAACAACCCATGGACCGCATTAAATAACACTAGATCTCAACCTAGGCAAAAAACAGAAGGTACAACAGAAAAGAAAAAAAAAAAAAATATTCTCAAGTTGCTTTGATTAACAAAACAAAAAATCATTTAATTCTGTTTCCAAAAATAGTTTATAAAACCAACGTAGTGAATACATAGCACAACTATGTTGCTTTCAAAATTTGCTTAGCAAATGGTTTGCTTAGGTCATATTTAGATTGGAGGCATGTTTCATAAACAATTAAGATATGGGACCTGGAACTAAACGTTTTTTAATTGAAATATTTGTGAATGATAATGGATTCTTGCAAATTTGTATCCTTATGTATGATTTTGTGGTCACGCGTTTGGCATTACAACAATTTTCTCACAGATTCTTCATATATAAAGATAGTATAATATATTAATGTTGCAAAAGAAAATAAAAGAATATGTGAATGAGTAAGTACCATATTCGTAAACATCTGATAGATAGTGGAATTAGGTCATCATTCCACAAATATTCTTCATCAATCTTCTTGTTAGTTGCACTCTCTTTAATTTTGGTGCTTGTAGCCTCCTCGGAAAAGATCTTCAAATTGGGGCATTGACTAACAATTACTTGTTCTAAGCATGGGAATTCAAAAGCACAATTGCCGAGCTGAAGCTTGTGAGCTTTTTTAACAATGAAGCTCCAAAATTTTCAATTGGCTGAAAAAATATCTTCTTCCGTTGTCTCAACCTCAGTCACTATTACCTCGGTCACTAACTGCATCAGTTATTCTGATTGTTGTGAGATGGACAAGAGCTCTCGCTGTTGAGCATGCTAGTATATTTGCCAATCCATTCACACATGGACTTCCAAATTCTGAATGTTTTTGAAGGAAATGTGGAGGATGACATTAATATGTCAAACGATGACATCTCCATATTTTCAGAGTTTGAAGATTTTGAAGAAGTGTCCACTTGGGATTTTTTTCCAAATATCCTTCACATGGGAATAGTTCTTCTAAAGTACAATCATATAGACAGAGTGAATCCAGATGGTACAATTTTTGAAGAACACCAAACCAAGATGCTACGGACTTCTTATCAAGGCAAGCCAAATTAAGAATTTAAGTTTCGAAAAGCTTCTAGCTGGAATACGATCAAGGCACCTGGATGTAATGTAATCACCATTTAAACCCAAGGTTTCCAAATTGGGTGTCACCTGAAATCAATGATAGCAAAATATTCATTCATCAATTAATTCAGTCAGGTTTTTAAATTTAGAAGAAAGTTGCAATTGTTTTAAACATTTAACTTTCCAATTAATTATAGAATTATATGTTTAAAATATATAATTCGAACATTCTATATAAACTATTTAAAGTACAAAATTATATAAATTAACAAAATAGATATGTACTAAATCAATCATTATGTTCACCTGAACATGACTAGTGTTCCTATAAATTCATTCTTGTTTAAAGAGAAAAAAAATAATACAAAAAGAAAGAATTTCATAATTACCTTAATGATTATGTTGCATTTTTGTTGCAATAGACGAGTCATACCTTTTCAAAGAAAACAGGGCAGGTTGGCTCTCCCATCTGAAGCATATAATTTGTCTTTCCACAGTTACACACCAAACTTTTTAGCATTGCCACTCTATTGTATGCAACCCAAGTAAAAATGTTAGTTTGTAAATTTTAAGTTTGAAGAGGGTTAATTGGAAACAAAATTAGGCGTCCATTACTTCCTCCTTGGCAACAATTCCTCCAACCCACAAGAGGAAATCCAAAGCTTTTAAGTTGCAAAGACCTATGCATGGAAACTGGAACACTTTTCATACCCAACACTCTCAACATTTGTTTCTAGATTGTGAAAGTAAGAAGTCTTGAGTAGAATTAGAACGATAGTCACAATTTTCACAATTTCGACTCCACTTCTTTTAGTTGGAAAAGGAATCTTTATGAGTTGGTTGTGCCATATCAATTGCAAGTTATCCAATGAAGAGCATCATCTTCTCCAGTGGAAAAGCCTCAAAAAAAATCTCCTCATGTTAATGTTTTGGTAATGATAATGATACTAAAATAATAATAAAATAAAAACATATCAAACAAATTTTGTCTTCTCTTAAAAGAAAAAGAGAAAACAAAAGATTTATAGTGATTCTACTAATTATTTGCAGATAATGGTGACATTAATACTATAAAGAATTTTAAAAATTGAGGCCAATAGCAACATAAAATTTCAATTATGAAATAACTTTACCTTTTCGTTGAAGGGGATTTATATCAGTAATATGTTTTTCCAAGCTCTTCTCAGGTTTCTTTCTTAGCTGTCTACACCAAAAGAGTTGTGGAAGAATGTCTTCAAATTAGAGCAACTCTCAATGTGAAGTTCATTCAAGTGGGAATTCAATTGAATTTCCGTGCCAAATCTTGAGTTTTGGAACCCACAAGCTTTAGGTAGAATAGTTTTGGAAAACTCAAATCAATTATCTTATCTTCTCCTTCTAAGCCTTGTGAGTCAAAAATTACTGCTTCCATCAACTTACGGTCGCATATCACAAGCCTTTGGAGTTGCACGAGACTTTTGACTATAGAATGAAAACATAAACTTCAACCATTACACTTCTCCACAGTTAAGCTTTTAAGCATTGAATACAGAAGACATTGGTTGAGGTTGATCAACCCATAAGTTCTCAATTAATTGACGATAGTTCAATTCCCAACCTTGGGAAAACCTGCAAAAGCAAATCTCTCCATAAATAACTTAGAAACAAATTCAACACATTTTTATACATGAAAGAAAATAAAAGAAGAAAATGAGAAAATATACCTTCACGCCAAAACTTATGATCGTGGTAGGCATTGTAGTACTAGGGAACGTAATTGAGTGAACTCAAACTTCTATTCTTTTGCTTTCACCAAAAATCTCTTTAGATTTTCATCAATGACTTTATTTCTTGAAGCGGTGAAAACTTTTTATTATCAGAGACGAAGAGATGCACCAGCATATCACATTTTTCAACTTTCAAAATTCTTAGTTTGCTAAAAGACTCCGCAAAGAGTTGCCACCACAACTTCTCTATTTAATCAAATTATGAAGACAAATGACTCTAACTTTGGGAAGACATTTTGCTAGGAGCAAAGTTCAAAATATACAAGAGCTCTGACCATTTCGCACAGAAGATGCTTTAATTGTGCAAACCTCCTCATCAAGTTCATCATCATTTTTTAACACCATCAATTCAAATGGAGTTCTTCAGTTCTCTCACAAAATTTTAACGTGAATCAAGAAATGCTATTGTTGAGCTTGATTTTCAACATTCTCGACGTTTCACCATAAGTAGCATACCATCTCCAATCCCACAAATCTCCATAAGTATTCTATATCTTTTCAACCTCTCTGAAAACAAGTCTGCGGTATCATCTGAGATCGCGAAACTGTCTCTAGAGTGGTAGGCAAGACAATTGCTTCAACTCAAGAAACTGGCATTCTTTCGTTCTTGATTGTTCATTAGTCCTTCATCTCCCAATGAGAAGCTATTGCCCATATATATTTCTTCTAATCGAGAAAGCTGAAATATTCGGTGGATTACTTTCAGTTTGGAGCCTCCTCAAATCTAGCATCTTCAACCGAGTCAATTGTCCAATTTCCAGGCAACTTTTCTATGTCAGATCCTACGGCTAAGAATTTTTAATTTCTTAAGCTCTCCAACTATTCTATATCTTCTAGTTGGTGTAAACCAGAGTGTTTAGGTTTTTTAGGCACGGAGTGAGGAAGGTAGTGAGGAGACTAATTCCAGTCAAATCCAAACTTCAAGTTCTTTCACCCTTGGAATAAGAGGTCTGGGATTTGTAGAGAGCGATTTTGGCTGTCTAGAAGAAAGACCTTGAGTTTCGGATATTCCAAACTCTGAGGAAGCACATCACCAATATCTCTGTGGGGCAAGGTTATAGCAGTTGCAGTTTTGGGTATTTTTTCCTCTAGCACTTCTTTCAAATCACCAAAGTTTTTAATATTAAACATAAACTCTTCTGAGGATGCAATTGATATAACAACAGCATGAATGAGGTCATGCATTTTAACGGAATAATTGGTGATACTATCCAACAACAAAGACGAAGCTTTGAGATTATGGATCAACGTAAGCAATCTATTTCTTCCATCTTCAAGGGCATAAACATCTCGAAACAAATGCAAACCCATACTATATTTTAGTAAGTCACTAATGACTATACCACTACTTGCATTCAACAAACCACAAAGAAGAAACAGTGATTTTTCCTCGATTTTCAAAAAATTGTAGCTCAATTCTATAATAGAACACACACTTTCAGCCATTCCTTCAATTTGTCTGGGATTAGACCTTGTTAGTTGACCCAAGGCATCCTCCCAAACTGGAAGACTCTTACTTTTTAGAGCCGTTGCTACTGTTTCAATCGCAATCGGCAAACGTGCACATTTCCGGACCACCTCTACTGCTATAGGTCGAAAATCAGAGTTTTCAACAGAATCACCCACAACCTTTCGAAACAAACACCGTGCTTCTTCATCCGATAAAAGATCAACCAAGAAGTTTTTTTGAATGTTCATATGATTGCGTAATACATATCGATCTCTAGAAGTAAGCAATATCTTGTATCGCCTCTCATCATCTTTTCTGTCTTTCCGAACTTCTTTTTCCTGGCAAATTCCCTCGTGCATATCTCCATAAGGAATTCCCACCGCATCTAAATCAAGTTTAGCCCATATATCATCTAATATTACTAGAATCCTCTTCTCCCTCTTTAACCTGTCACGTAATCGAGCAGATCTTCCTGATACACTCTGCTCAAGGAATGTTAGGCCTAACTGATCAGCAATTTCTTCTTGGATTTTCTTAAAGTCTGGTGTCTGTGTTACTGCAGTCATGACCACCTCATCAAATAGCTTATCTTCCTTGGCTTGCGAAGCTACATTTTTTGCCAATGTAGTTTTGCCCACACCAGCCATCCCATACACCCCAACCATGTTATCGTTAGCATCCTTCAACGCTTCCATAATTTCTTGGAAAACTGGCATTCTAGAATCAAAGGCCTCAAAGCCTCTAATGTAAACGGATTCCGTCCTCTGTATTGCAGGACGGTAGGAAACACTACTGAAGTTCCCCTCTCCCGACAGATCGGCACCACCTGCTAACGCTTTCACTGCCTTCTTGCCGAGCATGTAACGCTGAATCAAATTAGGACACAACCCTATGAAACAACGCTTCTTTGCTTTATCTTCATCACCAGTTATGGGTTTTACAACCCCTTCAGCGAAGTCATTTACTCTTTTTAGCCATCGCTCCACATCCTTTTCGACCACTTCCCCTCGTCTTCTAGCTTCATCAACTTGATGTTCCACCCTCTCTCTTGCATTTCCCAGATCCTCAACTTGATTCTTAAGATCATTGATGTAGCTCTGGTACTTGAACAAATAAGATATATGCTGTCCAATGGAATCAAACGCTGACTCCGCAGCTTTTGATGCAACGCCAGAAACTGCAGCGCTACCTAGTTCAGCAGCCATTGCTTTTTTCTTTTTTTTTTTTTTCTTTTTTTTTCGGTTGCGACGAAGCGAACCGGAACCCGAGTGACCAAACACAACAAAATTTAAGGGAGGAAAAGCAGAGAACAATCAACAATGCCTTGTTGAATAAGCAGTGTTAATTTTTAAAAAGACGAGTTCAGTCCTGGCCGGTCTTTAATTTTGAATATTATGGAAATAATTATAAACTCAGATAAATTCCGTTTTCAACACAATAAATCAAATAATTTTTTTTTTTTTTTTTTTGGTGGGATTCTGAAAAAAAAAAAACTAGATTTATTTTCGAAGAGCTATAAAATATTGGCAGTAAAACGGCGACGAACAAAGCAAATAAAATAAGCAGAAGTAAAAACTAATAAGATAATTAACAAACTTAACAATAACAAAAACTTGGGAAAAAGAAATTTCAACAAGACTTAAAATTGCAAAGGAATGCTAACAAAATGACAAAGCAGGGGAAAAAACAAAAAGCCTTAAGAAAGAAAAATGACACCAGGAAATTAGGATGGCCGTGTTGAGGTTGAGAAGCAAGGTAAAGCTGCTGAAGGAGAGAAGGAGCCAAACGCAAAAGCTCTTTGATAGCTGTGAATGATGATGTGATGTAAGTTATGAGAAGCTGTTGTAGACTTGAAAATGTTACATGTAAATCACAGCCGTCGATTAGTTTTCATAATCCAGTAGTATCATATCATTTGCTCGGATTGTTTCAGTCAATTGCTAGGTTTTCTTTTCAGTTCCTTTGTTGAAGTGTGGGCCTTGATACCTGTCTTGTCAATGTCATATATTTCCATCCACTGTTTCAGTTTGGTTTCTATTTTACTAGTTTTTTAAAACAAATTATTTGTTTCCTGTCAAAAGATTATCTCTTGCCGCCTCACTTAGAAAAGGGTTTTTCAAATGGCATTATAAATGCACTTGTTATCTTCATAAATTATATATTAACCGTTAGCAGATCGTTTTATTTAGTGTTTTGTGAGGGATATGGGTGTTCAGTTTTGGGTACCTATATTTTTTTAAAGAATCAGAATGGAAACTTGAATTGACGATTCCTTGGAATTTGAAATTGGAATCAATATCGACGGTTTCAGTCTTTGGGTACCCAGTAACAACTATTCTGATTCCAAGTGCCTTGTAAAATTCAATTACCCCTAAAAGTTTTTAAAATGGAAAAAAAACTCTTAAAAACTTACTAATACCCCCCACTTAACACTTGTTAACAAACCTTGTTAACAAAAAGATAATAAACTCATTGAAATTATCTAAAGTTTCTAATTTTATTTAACTCTAATTGAAATAAATTTGGAGAAATAAACCTTTAGAAGCAAAGCAAAGTTGCTGGAGGAAGGAAAGAAGGAACCAAACGCAAAAGATCTTGGATAGCTGTGAATGATGATATGATGAAAGTTATGAGTAGCTGTTGTAGACTTGAACAATGTTACATGTAAATCACAGCCGTCGATTAGTTTTCATAATCCAGGGGTATCATCCGCTCGGATTGTATCAGTCAATTCCCAAGTCTTCCTTGACGTCTGTCTTGTCAATGTCATATTTCCATCCATTATTGTAACATTAAATTCCAATTTCAACATACTGAATCAATACATGAAATAACTTTTTTTTTTTTTAATTTGCTGGAGTAAAATGTACCGAAAGAAAACAGCGCTAAACAAAGGAAATATATAAAATATACTGAAGTAAACTAATTAATAAGATAACGAACTTAACAATAACAAAATCTCGGGAAAAAGAAAATTTTGACAAAAGGTAAAACTGACTGTAAGACAACAATTAATATAGTAATTCATAACCATAAGTCATGATACAAAATCTCAAATTTCCAACTGAAATTTAAACCTTAGGATGGATAAAGTCTTTCTTTCAATCTTATGATGAGATTTCTAAACAAAGTTATTTATGTAGAAATGCTTTGCAAATGAAACAATGAGAAAAATAGAAGGTTTTGAGTGAAGAAAGATGGGACTGGGAGATTGTCTGCAAAGTAATTTAGTTTTAGTAGTCTTCTTGTAAATTTCCATGCATAAGCCAATGTCATTGTAGTACCCTACAAAGTCCATGCACTCATCATGAAACTTCATCAGAACCGACTTAAAATCTTATGAAACTTCTATAAAAAGATGTTATTTATGAAAATTTATAACTAAACTATGATGACATATGACTTCATTAAATTGTTTTAAAAAAATTAAAATAGCTTAATGAAATAAAGTAAAAAATAATAATAAATGAGTTTATAATATACAAATAAATTATTAAAAGTAAACTGAAAAAAAAAATGCGATATAAAGACAGTGTAGACCTGGCTTTATTAGACTGCTATTAAGTCTGAGTCTCTCTCACTTCCTTATTTTGTGGAGAAAAATTTTAATGGGATTAAGGTTTGGGATAGGATTGACGACAACCCAAATGTTTGAATCTCTCACCTCTCTAGTCTCTTCACATTTCACGAATTATGTCCGGCCTCCAGTCTCCCTATAAAGTAATTGTTCGAAATAATTACCAAAACTACTTATATACAAATAATTCCATGATCAATTTTTGAAAATTTTCAACAGTTTAATTTTCAGTATAAAATAATTGATTTTTTTTTTTTTTTTTTTTGGTTTTAGTTATGAATATGCAAAATTTATTAGGATAAAATTGAAATTTTCTATTTTATCAAAAGTTTCGTGGTGGTCTACCATACAGCACCATGAAACTTCATCAAAAGTTTCAATCAAAACTATAAAGATGATTATAAATCTTATTTGAATAGTCAAAACTTTCTTAAAATCCTATGAAAATTTATATAATGCTCAACATGAAATCTATTTTATTTAAAAATAAATGAGTTTTTATACTACTACTAACAATAATAATAAAGAAGAGAAAATAAGAAACCAAATATGATGACGTACGACTTTAGTAAAGATTTTTAAAAGATTTTTATTCAAATTATGTTGATATCATAATAACTAAATGAAATAAAGTAAAAAAAATAAGTATGTAATATACAAATACATTATTGAACTTTTAAATATGAAAAATTTTCGATAATATTGAAATTACAATGCAGGGATGGTCGTCTTGAATTTTCCTATTAACATTGTTAAGTCAATTGCCAGCTCTCTCCATCTCCATCTTTATTTCCATCTCAATCAGCATATTAAGTCCGATACTCATAGTCTTAAAATCTTATAAAAATTTATATAATGCTCAACATGAAATCTATTTTATTTTATTTTTTGAAAAATGTGTTTTATACTATTACTAGCAATAATAATAAATAAGAGAAAATAAAAACTAAATGATAATGAGGTACGGCTTCATGAAAGATTTTTAGAATGGTTTTATAATAACCATATGAAATATCAATACATTATTAAAAGTTAAAATATGAAATATCTTTTATCATTATTGCAATTACAAGTGATATCCGTTTGAATTTTCTATTTAACATTGTTGAGTACATCAATTAATTTCTAAATCTATTTAATACTCTATAAGTCCAAAGGATCAGGTAAGTCACAATATTATTGTGATAACGACTTTAAGGTTTAAGATAGAAAGAAGACACCCCAAATGTTTGAATATCTCACCTCTCTTCACATTTCACGAATTCTCTATTGCCTCCTCTTCTCTCTATAAAGTGATCCTTGAAAATAATTAACTAAGACTATTTTTATAAAAATAATTCAATGATCAATTTTTTTTTTTTAACAGTTAATTTTGCGTACAAAGTTATTGATTTTTTTTTGGAGTGGTTTTTAATTATAAATATGCAAAATTTATGTCAATTTTTTCATAATAAAACTGAAATTTCTGTTTTATCAAAATAAATAGTAAATATTTTGTTCTTACGATTTAAAAATAGGTTAAAACTACTCTATAAAAAAAAAAAAAAAAAATTATATTATTGCCAATTGTCAAGTATTGAATGCCATAACGGGAAGTTCAATTTGTGGGTAATTTGACAGGGATAATTTCCTAAATTCTAGACAATTTTACTCTATATTTTGAATTTACTTCGTTTATTTTCTTCTCTTAGGGTGGTGCGTCAGCCCTATAAGCTCTTTGACATGAAACTAATAAAATTTAACTGTAATAGAATTATTAAAAAGTAATTATTGGATGATCCTCTCCCCTCAGCTCCCTAAAACTTTAAGAGTAAACTACTGTTTCCACCCAAGGTTTAGCGGACAAGCAAGTTCCCATTCCTGATTTCATAAATTTCATATTCCCACCCATAAATTAACATACAATCATTTAATATAACAATTATTGGGTACAATGATCATTTTAACTATACTAAATCTAAAATGAAAATGAAAGTTTCAAAATAACCCTCATTTGACAAGGGTAAAGTGGCCGGGTGGTGGCCTTGGGTGAGGAATTTTGTCAAACAAGTGGTGAGCGTGTTGGCTATGGGAAGGCTGGAAATGATGGGAGTTGCCGGCGACCATGTAATTACAAACAATAACACTCAGTAGGGAACATTTGTTATTATATTTTATTCAATAATGAAATACTTCCTGTAATGGCTGAGACAAAAGTTGCATCAAAGGAAATTTCCCAAATTGATGCGCTTATGATGACTCAATATCAGAATTCAGAAAGAGCGAACAAAACGCGAATTCATGGCCTTGTTTTAATTTCTCCTAAAACATAACAATAAAAGATTATTGAACTAAAGTTTATTTTTAATTTAAAATTAATTAATTATTTTTTTATCAGATTATATTGTATAAAAATATTATATATGTAATATTATTATACAATATTTGCACCTGTGTGAAAACTTAAAAATCAACGATGGTTTTGACATTTTTGTTAAAAATGTTAAAAAAAAATACAAAAATCAAATCGAATTAGTAGTCGAATCAAAGAACTGGTTAACAGAAAAAATGATTTGGTTACAGTTTAAGAAATTCAAAAAACTAGATTTTTGGTTCATTACTGGTTTAGGAAAAAATCAAAACCGGTTA